GAAATGGGAATTTCTCCCTGGTTTTCCTATGGAATGTGCTCAGCATTCCAGCTTTTTTTTATTGGCTTTCCCTCCTTTTATTCCCTGGGATGCTGCCATCATCATTCCCAGGTTATGGAAAAGAGGGAATAGCAGCAAAAGGAACATTCCAGCACAATCCCGCCTGGCTCCGATCCCTTTGGATCCTTCCCAGCTCCGGCCATTCCCGGATTTTCTGACCTCTGGCCTTTGCCGGCTGGGATTTGAGGGATATCCGTGCTTGGGAATTTCCTGGGAATCTGCTGGGTCCAGGAGCCTTCGGATCTCCCCCATCCCCCGGGATCCTCCCTGTATTCCCAAGATCCTGGAATTCGCTCCCTGAGGAATGCGGGATCCGCGGGATTCGGGAACAGCTTTCCCTATGCCATGGCTGTGCCAGGAGCTGGAATTCCCTGGATCCCAATGGATCCGGATGGGATTGATCCCGGTTTTCGGGAACGCGGCCCTCGGAAATATTCCCAATATTCCCGCTTTTCATCTTTAAGGGCCATTCCAGGGCCACATTCCCTTGTAACTTCTGCTCCTGTGGCTCCCACCCTGCTGGAGCTGCCAGGAATTCCTTGGGATAAAGGAAGAGTGCTGGGAATGCTGCACTGGGAATTTGGGAACGATGAATTGTGCTGGGATTCATCCCAGTTTTCCAGGTGGGATCAGCTCTGGGAAGGTTTGACGGGGAATTCTGGGGGAGGGGGCTGAGAAATCCTGGAATTCCAGCCCATGGAAAACCCATTCCCACTGCGGGAATGCCGCTCCGGGTGGGATCCGGATCCTTGGGAATAGGGAAGGAAAATGGGAATGAGGAGGGGAGAGGAAATCTTGGATCAAGGGAAGGATCCGGAACCTTTGGATCAGCAAATCCCATCCCCGAGCTCCTTCCTGCCCCCAATCCTGAATTTCTGCTGAGGCTGAGAATCCCTTGGGAATGTTTTCCCAGCTCCGGTTGTTCCCTCCCTTTCCGGGTCCCTTTGATTGCCTCTATTTATTCCAAGGAATCTTGATTAGAGCCGGAATGGCAGGATAATGATGGGAATCAAACCCGGATCCGTTCCCAAATCGGCTCCGCAGCTGGAGCCGGCGGAGCGGGAACGGCGCCGGGGACGATTCCCGGATCCGTCCGGAGCAGGAGCAGCTCCCGGTGCTGATTCCCAGGGCTGATTCCCAGATCCATCCGGATCCATTCCTGGTGCTGATTCCCACATCCCTCAGATCCATCCGGAGCCATTCCCAGGGCTGATTCCCAGATCCCTCCGGATCAATTCCCAGTGCTGATTCCCGGATCCATCGGATCCATCCGGAGCCATTCCCAGGGCTGATTCCCAGACCCATCGGATCCATTCCCGACCCTCATTCCATACACAAACACAGATTCCCGGCGGAAATCCCTGCTGGAATTCCTGGCTGGTCCAGGCCGTGCAGGATGAGGATGGGAAGCCTTGGAAGAGAGGAGGAAAAACTGGGAATGGCGATGGGAGGAAAGGAGAATCCAGGGAATGAAGGACGGGATAAGACCGAACGGCCTCGAGGGGGAATTTCGGTTGGATTTTGGGAATATTTTTCCATGGAAAGGGGGTCCGACCTTGGAAAGGGAAGCCCTAAATCCCAAACCTCATTCCTGGGAGGCCGGAATTCCAAAGAGCTTCAAAGCGGGAATTTTCAGAGCAGTGGGAATGGAGCAAATTCCGGGATTTGGGATCATTCCAAGGCTTGACAGCACCGAAACCTTTGGAGAGCCGGAGAATTTGCATCCCAAAAAAAAACCCCTGGAGGAGCCTGAAAGGATTTTGCTGTTCGGCTTTTCCTTGGATTTGTTTTTTCTTGGATGCCTCCAGGCAGGATTTAATTCCTGGATCCCTCTGGGAATTCTTTGGGATGGATGGAGCAGGGCTGGATTTCCGGATGCCTGAAGAAATTTGGGATTGGCTCTGATGGATCTGCAGGAATGGGAGCTGGGATAAAGCCTCGGGAGAAATGCGGGAATGGGGCAGCAAATCCCACAGGAATTCCCGGGTTTTTTTTTCCTTTTCTGGAATCCTGGGATGGTTTGGTGGGAAGAGACCTCAAATCCCATTCCAAGGACAGGGAAATTCCCACAATCCCAGGCTGCTCCAGCCTTTCCTTGGGAATTCCAGGGATCCAGGGGCACCCACAGCTGCTCTGGGAATTCCTTCCCAAAATCCCACCCCAATCTCCCTTCCCATGGAATTCCCTCCATTCCTGGAGGGATTGGAGCCCGGGATTGGATCCAGCCCCACCCCAGCTCTGCTCCAGGAAGGAATTTTGGGATCCGGGGGTTTCACTGGGAATCTCGGCACTCCAGGAAGGGTCTCCCTTCCCTTTTCCATCCCCAACTTCCATAAAAATCCCTCAGGATGGAGTCTGAACCTCCTTGATCCCAGAATCCCGGAATGGTTTGGGTGGGAAGGGACCTCAAATCCCATCCCATTCCAATCCCACCATCCCAGGCTGCTCCAGCCTTTCCTGGGACATTCCAGGGATCCAGGGGCAGCCCCAGCTGCTCTGGCAATCCCAGCCCAGCCAGGAATTCCTCATTCCCAAATCCCATCCCTGGCTGCCCTCTGGCAGTGGGAGCCATTCCCTGGGTCCTGTCCCTCCATCCTTGTCCCCAGTCTCTCTGCAGCTCTCCTGGAGCCCCTTCAGGCCCTGGAATGCGTTGGAAGCTCTCCCTGGATCCTTCCCTTCTCCAGGGGAACATTCCCAGCTCTCCCAGCCTGGATCCAGCTCCAGGATCCCTGGAAGTGTCCAGATCTTGGAGCCCCTGGGATAACGGGAGCTTTCCCTGCCTTTGGAATGAGATGGGATTTGAGGTCCCTCCCCACCCAAACCATTCCAGGATTCCATAAAATCGGCGGAAGTTTGGGATCCGCCCAACCTCAGCCTTTGGATCGGGATCTGCTCCAGGGAACGAGACCCGGGAAAAGAGGGAGCGGCCTCAGCCCGGCCAGGGGAGGTTGGGGTTGGATATTTGGGAATTTTTCCATGGAATGGGGTCAGGCCTTGGCAGGAGCTGCCCAGGGAGCTTTGGAGTGCCCATCCCTGGAGGGATCCAAGGAATTCATGGAATTCCACTCAGGGCTGGGATCAGGCCCAGCTTGTGCTCAGTGATCCAGGAGGGCTTTTCCAGCCTCTGGAATTCCAGGATCTGGACAGCCCAGAGTGGATTCACACCTGGAGAACACCTGGAGAACACCTGGAGAACACCGGGAAGGTGCTGCTGGGATTTGGGGATCCTGAGTGGCACAATTCAGGAATCCGGACATCCAGAGCAGGAAAATTCAGGAATTTGGGCACCCAGACTGGGAAAATTTGGGATGAAGGCATTTAGAGTGGGACACTTTGGGAATTTTGGCATCCAGAGTGGAAAAATCCGGGCATTTGGGCCTCCAGAGTGGGAAAATTTGGGAATTTGGTGTCCAGAGTGTGAAAAAACAGGAATTGGGTGTCCAGAGTGGGAAAATTTGGGAATTTGTTTGTCCAGAGTGTAAAAAATCGGGAATTGGTTGTCCAGAGTGGGAAAATTTGGGAATTTGGGTGTCCAGAGTGTGAAGAATCAGGAACTGGGCCTCCAGAGTGGGAAAATTTGGGAATTTGGTGTCCAGAGTGTGAAAAATCAGGAATTGGGATTCCAGAGTGGGAAAATTTGGGAATTTGTTTGTCCAGAGTGTGAAAAACCAGGAACTGGGCATCCAGAGTGGGAAAATTTGGGAATTTGTGTATCCAGAGTGTGAAAAACCAGGAATTGGGTGTCCAGAGTGGGAAAATTTGGGAATTTGTTTGTCCAGAGTGTGAAAAATCAGGAATTGGGTGTCCAGAGTGGGAAAATTTGGGAATTTGGGTGTCCAGAGTGTGAAAAATCAGGAATTGGGTGTACAGAGTGGGAAAATTTGGGAATTTGGGTGTCCAGAGTGTGAAAAACCAGGAACTGGGTGTCCAGAGTGGGAAAATTTGGGAATTTGTTTGTCCAGAGTGTGAAAAACCAGGAACTGGGCATCCAGAGTGGGAAAATTTGGGAATTTGGGTGTCCAGAGTGTGAAAAACCAGGAACTGGGCATCCAGAGTGGGAAAATTTGGGAATTTGGGTGTCCAGAGTGTGGAAAACCAGGAATTGGTTGTCCAGAGTGGGAAAATTTGGGAATTTGGGTGTCCAGAGTGTGAATAATCAGGAATTGGTTGTCCAGAGTGGGAAAATTTGGGAATTTGTTTGTCCAGAGTGTGAAAAATCAGGAATTGGGATTCCAGAGTGGGGAAATTTGGGAATTTGGGTGTCCAGAGTGTGAAAAACCAGGAACTGGGTGTCCAGAGTCGGAAAATTTGGGAATTTGTGTGTCCAGAGTGTGAAAAATCAGGAACTGGGTGTCCAGAGTGGGAAAAATTGGGAATTTGTGTGTCCAGAGTGTGAAAAATCAGGAACTGGGTGTCCAGAGTGGGAAAATTTGGGAATTTGTTTGTCCAGAGTGTGAAAAATCAGGAATTGGGTGTCCAGAGTGGGAAAATTTGGGAATTTGTTTGTCCAGAGTGTGAAAAATCAGGAATTGGGCATCCAGAGTGGGAAAATTTGGGATTTGGTCGCAAGTGGGGCAGTTTGAGAATTTGGAGATCCAGAGTGTGAAAAGTTGGGAATGGGGCATCCAGAGGGAGAGAAAAAAACATCGGGAATTTGGAAATGCATGCACCCAGAGTGGGAAAATGACGGGAATTGTGGCATCCGGAGCGGCGCAGTTTGGGAATTCTGGCATCCGGAGCGGCGCAGTTTGGGAATCCAGGCATCCAGAGTGGGAAAACCCAGGAATTCCAGATTTTCCCATAGGAACCGAACCGGCGGAGAACTCCCCATCCCCGAGCTTCCCTCTGGTTTTCCTTCCCGCGTTCCCGCGGTGCCTCCGCCGTCCCAAGTCCCCTTTTCCCGGGATTCCCCCCTGACTGGCGATCCCGGTTTTCCGCAGTGCTGAGCATCGGCGAGGGCGGATTCTGGGAAGGATCCGTGAAGGGCAGGAGCGGCTGGTTCCCGGCGGAATGCGTGGAGGAGGTGCAGATGCGCCAGTACGACTCCAGGCAAGGTGGGTATCCCGGAATTCCGGCTGGAATTCTCGATGGAATCACCGGAGCGCTCCGTGGGGCCGGAGGGAGCCGCGGGAATCGTATCCCAAGGGATCCGTTCCAATCACGCATCCATTGTCAGGATCTTCTGCAGGAATGGAGAGTTTGGGATGATGGAGGGGTGGGAGCGGAGGGAAAACTGGGAACATTTGGATCGGTCAGTTGGAGAAGGTCGGGATCCCGGAATTCCAGCTGGAATTCTCGATGGAATCACCGGAGCGCTCCTCCTGGGCGGTGGGGCTGGAGGGAATCGCGGGAATTGTATCCCAAGGGATCCGTTCCGGTCCTGGAATCATCATCAGGAAATGGAGAGTTTGGGAATGGTGGGAGCAGAGGGAAAACTGGGAAAACTGGGATTGGTCCAGCCTGGAAAAGAGGGAAAATCCAGGATGATCCAATTGTGGCCTGCAGGAGCCATGGGAAAGGTGGAAAGTGGGAATATTGGGAATTTTCCCATTCGGGAAATGGTCCGAACTCCGGGGAGTTGTGGGAATTGTATCCCAAGGGATGAGTTCCAACCATGGATTCATCATCGAGATCTTCTGCAGGAATGGAGAGTTTGGGATGATGGAGGGCTGGGAGAGGAGGGAAAACTGGGAAAACTGGGATTGGTCCAGCCTGGAAAAGAGGGGAAATCCAGGATGATCCACGGAAGTGGTGGGAACTGCCCCAGCTCTGATGGGAATTCCGGAATTCCAAAGGAATTCCTGGTCCGCCGAAGAGGAGTTTTCCATGCCTGGGAAAAGGAGGATCCAGGGGGGTTTTATCCCTTTTCCCAACGTCCTGCCAGGATCCGAGGTGGGATTGGGATGAAAGGACAGGGAAAGAGGGAATGGCCTCAGCTTGGGTCGGGATTGGATTTTTGGGAATTTCCCCATGGAAAAGGGGGTCAGCAGGGGCTGCCCGGGGAGCTTTGGAGTCACCATCCCTGGAAGAATCCAAGGAATTCCCGGAATTCCACTCAGGGCTGGGATGGCCCCCGGCTTAGACTTGGTGACCTTGGAATTCTCTCCCAGCCTCTGGAATTCTGGGACTCCACAATTCCCTGCCTGGATCCAAAATAAATGAAGGGGAAATCCCATTCCCCAAGAATTCAAGGATCAGGAATCTTCCCTTCCAATGGAATTCAGCGGATTCCAAACTCTCTGTGGAACCAGAATTCCAGGCAGAAGGAGAAGGGATCTCCCCACATTCCAAAGGGGAATTTTTTCCCTCCTTATTTGCGCACCTGGGGTTGATTCCCAGGGAAGAAAAAAAAAAGAGGATGAGCAATTCCCGGTGGTTTTTCCAGCTTTTCCCCAGCATTCCTGGATTCCTGCTGGAAGAGCATCCCATGGAATTCCATCCCATGCATCCCATCCCTTCTGCATCCATTTTGTCCTTCCTGACGATTTTCCAGCTGTCGATTATCCCAGGGAAGAGCAGGATGATCCTTTTCCATGGATTTGGTCAGGATGCTGGCATCCGGGCTTTTCCCGAATTCCTCCCCCGTCCCCTGGCCAGGCAGATCCGAGCACATCCCAGATTTATTCCAGAGCCGAATTCTAAAGGATTTTGGTCATGGATTCATGGAATGTTCAGGTTGGGAAGGGCTTTAAAGTCCATCCTGATCCCATTCCCTATGGAAACCTTTCGCTATCCCAGATTCCTTCAGTCCCGTCAATCCCATGGATTTTGTCCCACGGATCCCATAAATCCCACAGATCCCATAAATCCTATGGATCCCATAAATCCCATGGATCCCATAATTCCCATGGATCCCATCCCATCCCATGGATTCTATCCCATGGATCCCATCCCATGGATCCCATGAATCCCATGGATCCCATAAATCCCACAGATCCCGTGAATCCCATTGATCCCATAAATCCCATGGATCCCATCCCATCCCATCCCATCCCATGTATCCCATGAATCCCATGGATTCCATAAATCCTATCCTATCCCATAGATTCTATCCCATGAATCCCATGGATCCCATGGATCTCATCCCACAGATTCTATCACGTGGATCCCATAAATCCCATGGATCCCATCCCATACCATGGATTCTGTCCCATGGATTCTGTCCCAGGGATCCTATGGATCCCATATCAGGGATCCCATCCCATGGATTCCATCCTGTGGATCCCATAAATCCCATGGATCCCATAAATCCCATCCCACGGATCCCATAAATCCCATGGATTCTATAAATCCTATCCCATCCCATGGATTCTATCCCATGGATCCCATGAATCCCATGAATCCCATAAATCCCATCCCACAGATTCCATCCCATGGATCCCATAAATCCTGTGGATCCCATAAATCCCATGGATCCCATCCCATGGATTCTATCCCATGGATCCCATAAATCCCATGGATTCTGTCCCATGGATCCCATAAATCCCATGGATCCCATCCTGTGGATTCTATCCCATGGATCCCATGGATCCCATGGATCCCACGGATCCCATCCCACGGATTCCGTCCTGTGGATCCCGTGGATCCCGCCGCACAGATCCCACGGATCCCATAAATCCCATGGATCCCATAAATCCCATGGATTCTGTCCCATGGATGCCATAAATCCCATGGATCCCACGGATCCCATCCCACGGATTCCGTCCCGTGGATCCCGTGGATCCCGCCGCACAGATCCCACGGATCCCATAAATCCCATGGATCCCACGGATCCCATCCCACGGATCCCATAAATCCCATGGATCCCGTGGATCCCACGGATCCCATCCCAGTTGCTCGGCCCGTTCCCGTGCGTCTCAGCCTCTCCGTGTCCCTGCGGATCCCGGCTGCTCCCGGCTCCATCCGGAGGCTCCGGAGGCTCCGTGGCAGCTCCATTCCAGGCGCTGGGATTTTTGGGAGCCGGGAAGGCAGCGGAGCCGCCGGGCCCCGGAATGCCCATAAATCCCAGATTTTCCTCGGGAACGACGTCGGGGAAAACATCCGGAGGGAGGAGGGCGAGCAGGAATTCCAGAGGGCTGGAATGGCAGGAGGGAATTCCTGAATCCCCAGGGGAACGGGAAGTGCTGGGAAATGCCAGGGCTGGATGGATCAGCTCCTGGAGCTGTCGGGATCTGCTGGAATTCGGGATCTGCTGGGAATTTCTTCCCTCCCTCCCTCTTCCCTCCTTTTTCCCAGATTTTCCTTTTCCTTTTTCCTTTTTCCTTTTTCCTTTTTCCTTTTCCTTTTCCTTTTCCTTTCCCTTTTCCTTTTCCTTTTTCCTTTTTCCTTTTTCCTTTTCCTTTTCCTTTTCCTTTTCCTTTTCCTTTCCCTTTCCCTTTCCCTTTCCCTTTCCCTTTCCCTTTCCCTTTCTTCCCACCGGGAATCATTCCTGGATCAGCTGCTCCCTGCTGCCGTCTCCTGGTGCCAAGCGGGAGCTTCCCAAGCTTTTCCTTGGAATTTCCCTCTGGAATCAGAGACCCCTCAGACCCGTGAGGATTTTCCCAGCCTGATCCAAGTGGAAAACTCCCGGATTTTATTCCACGTGCTGCCATTACCTGGCAGCTTCCCATGCTTCTCCTTTTCCTTGGAATTTCCCCCTGGAATCCCGGCCGGGAGCCCCTCGGAGCGGAGAGGATTTCCCCAGGCTAATCCTGGAAAACTCCGGCGGGATCATTCCCAGCTCTTCCCATCCATTCCCAGGTGGGAAAAGCATGGAAGCAGGGTGGGAATGAGGCTGCTCCCTTGGGATTGTCCCCCTCATTCCCAGTTTTCCTCAGAATTCCGGCATTCCCAGAGATCCGGAGACCTCAGGGAGAGCCGGAGGATCCCAGAAACATTCCCAGCTTTTCCATGGGAGCTGCTCCCTCGGGAGTGCTGCCGGGGTCTCCCTCATTCCCAGTTTCCTCAGAATTCCGGCATTCCCAGAGATCCAGTGGCCTCCAGGAGCATTCCCAGCTCTCCCTGTCCATTCCGACGCCGGAAAAGGAAGGAAGTGGGGCAGGAATGTGGGATTTGGCTTTTCCAGAAGGTCATTCCAGCCAGGAATTTTGCCGAAATTCCCCCCGGATGATTTCCAGGAATGGCTCCATGGATCCTATCCCATCCCATAAATCCCATGGATCCCATCCCATGCATTCTATCCCAAAACATTCCCAGGAATTCCTCGGCCACATGTGGGCCTCGGATTCTCCTCATCCACGGGAAAAAACTCCCGCCTAGGATGGAATTCCCGGGCTTTGTGGATCCCTTGGGAAGGTGGGAAAAGCCGGGAATCATTCGGGATGTGGATTTTTCCCACAGAAACCAGGGAGGACCGGACCAAGCGGCTTTTCCGGCACTACACCGTCGGATCCTACGACAACTTCACCTCCCACAGGTAAGGAGCCGCTCCCGGGAATCCCGGGAATCCCGGGAATTCCCGCTTCCATGGGAAACCCCTCCCTTTTCCACACAGGGGTTTGGAATTCCACAGGAAGGGGATTTTCCCGGAAGTTTTGGGCAGCGGGAGGAATTCCAGGGTGGGGTCCCTGGGCAGGATCCAAGGTTTTGGGGAATTCCGGGAATGTGACCGCATTCCTGGCTCGTATTCCAATGGATGAGCCAACATTCTGGAAAATTCTGGGAATGTTTCCCGTTCCTGGCTTGTGTCTCAGTGGAGGATCCAAGGTTCTGGAGAAGTTTGGGAATGTGCTCCCATTGCAGGCTCCTGTCTCAGTGGAGGATCCAAAATTCCAGGGAAATCTGGGAATGTTTGACATTCCCAGCCCACATTCCAGGGGATGATCCAAAGTTCTGGAGAAGTTTGGGAATGTGAAACATTCCCAAGCTTGTGTCCCCGGGGGAGGATCCAAGGTTCCAGAAAAGTTTGGGAATGTGCTCCCGTTCCAGGCTCCTGTCCCACGGGAGAATCCAAAGTTTGGGAATGTGAAACATTCCCGGCTCATTTCCCAGGGGGGAATCCAACATTCTGGAAAAGTCTGGGAATGTTTCCCATTCCTGACTCATTTCCCATTTTTGAGCTCCTTATCCCGAATTTTCCTTCCCGGAGCATTCCTGACTCCGAATTGGCGGAATTTGGGTGGATCCTTAAAATTCCCAGAATTTGCTGCTCCGGAGCCATTCCTGTTGGAAAAATCAGGAAAGAGGAAAAACCGAGGGAAAAACGAAGGGAAGCTCTGGAAAATCCCTGCTGGGATCATGGGAAGAGCAGAGAAAAAAGTGGGAATTCATGGATGAGGCAAAATTCCAACGGTTCGGAGGAAGAAAAAACGGGATTGAATCCATGGGAATCCCCGGAAAAGGGATTTCCTTTGGGAATCACATCCTGGGAAAACGCCAGGAGGAGCTCTTGCCCAGGAGTTGGAATTCCTGGGAAATGTCACTGGGGAAAAATTCCTGGGAATTCCAATGGATGAGTAGGGCAGGAAGGGGAATTTAAGGAGCTGCATCCTTAAATGGATAAAAATTGGGAAAAAACGGGGAAAAAATGGGATAAAAATGGATAAAAGTGGAAAAAAATTGGGAAAATTCCCACAATTCCACTAATTCCTTGGAGCTGGGAGTGCTCAGGGGAGCAAAATTTGGGATAAGGAACTCAAAAAAAAAGCAGGAAAAGGTTGTGGATGTGCTCCAAGATTCCCAGAATTCCATGGATCCACACCATTCCCTGGCCCAAGGCAAATTTGAGAGGAATTTAAGGAGCGGGATCCAGAAAAAACCTTGGGAAGAGCCCAGAGTGGGATTGGATCCACAGGGAGGGCTTGGATTGATCCCACTCCAGGAAATCCTTTGGGAATTGTTTGGATTCCAGGCGGAGAAAATCTGGGGAATCGCTGGGAAAGGGAAAATCCCAAAATTCTGGATTCTGGATTCTGTGGGACCATGGAACGGTTGGGAATGACGGAGATTGGGAATGATGGAATTGTGGGATCATGGAATGCTTTGGAATGATGCAACATCCCCAGGAATTTCGGGATAAATCCGGATTGGAGCTGGGAAAACTCCCCCGGGATGGAATTCCCACCATTCCCAGATTTCCCTTGGAATCAGGAATCCCTCCAAGGAGGAGCCGGGATGTGCTGGATGCTCCCAAAATCCCGGTCATTCCAAAACCCTGGAAATGGGAAAAAGGGAACAGAACTCGGAGAAGTTCACCTGGAGGGGACAAATCCGAGCTCGGCTTAATCCGGAGGAGAAATCCCAGCGGGAATTGCCTTCGGAATTAAAGGGAGGGATTAAAGAGGCTCCAAATTAATTCGGGAATTAAAGCTGGGAGCAGCTGGGAAGGGGAAAAATCGGGATCAGGAGCCAATCCCGGATTTGTGTCAGGGATTAGGGAGAGGGATTTCACCGGAAAACAGGGAAAACATGGAAAACATGGAGAACACGGAGGGGGAAAAGGGAATTTTGCAGTCCTGGAATGCCGGGGCTGGAGAAATGTGTGGAGACAGAAAATGATGGAATTACGGCGGTTGGAATGATGGGAATACGGAACAACAAGGGGTTGGAATTACAGAATCGTTTTCCCGGAGCTGGGAAATCTGGGAATTCCTTCCCATGTTTCCAAAGCTGGAATTCCCCCATCCGAAGGGGCTGAGTTTCCATTGGAATTCCACCTGGAATCAGCTGGGAATGGGATCAGGAATGGGACCTGGAATGGGAATCTGGAATTCTCCCTCTCCCTGTGGAAAACCGGGAATTAAAGGTGGGCTTTGGATCAGGGAAAGCTATGGAAAACCCTTGGAAAAGGAATTCCTGGAGCTGGAATTGGACCAGGAATGGGGTTGGGAATGGGACCTGGAATTTTCCCTGTCCCTGGGGAACGCTGGGACTTAAATTGGGCATTGGATCACGGAGAACTATGGGAAAACCCCATGGAAAAAGATTGGAAAAGGAATTCCTGGAGAAGCCGCCACCATCCCAGCCTTTGGTGCCCGAGGCCAAGCAGAAAACCCGGAATGGGAGCTGGAACGGGGCCGGGAATGGGAGCTGGAACGGGGCCGGGAATGGGAGCTGGAACGGGGCTGGAATTTTCCCCGTCCCCGTGGAATGCCGGGAGTTAAAGGTCAGGTTCGGATCAGGCGAAACTATGGAAAACCCATGGAAAAAGAGTGGAAAAGGAATTCCTGGAGAGGCCGCCACCATCCCAGCCTTTGGTGCCCGAGGCCAAGCGGAAAACCCGGAATGGGAGCTGGAATCCTGGGAATTCTCGGTCCCTACGGAACACGGGGAGTTAAAGGGGGGCGTCGGTCTCAGCACCACCCCCGGCAATTCCAGCTCCTTTTAGAATCCATGGAATCTGCGGGAATGGATGGAGCCGTGATTCATCCCGGCTCCCACGCTTCCCGAGGCTCCGGATCCCACACCTGGATCCCGCCCACATTCCCGGTGACGCCGATCCCGCTGCGGTAACGCCCCGCCCACATTCCCAAAGTTTGGGGAACAGCCGGAAAAGCCACCCAGGAGACGCCTGGAAGAATTCCAGGCCGGTCGGAGAAAAACCTGGGACAGCGGGAATTGTCCCTGCCCATGGAATGATCCCGAATCCCTTTTCCCGCCCAGATCCCGGGATTCTAAAAGAAATCGGGAAGTAAAATCAGTTTTCATGGATCCCCTCGGTGATCCCCATGGGAAAACCATTGGAAGGTGTCCCAGCTTCCCAGGAAAACGCTGGAATGTTGGAGCGGCTGGAGCGGGATTCCACTTCCCTGGGAATTTTTGGATTCCTCAAGGAAAATGAGGTCGGCTGAAGCTGCTGGAGAAATCCTAAAATCCATGGAATTCCTGAGGTGGGAAAAGCCCTCCCGGGTCACTGAGGCCAAGCTGGGCCCGATCCCAACCCAGAGCTGGAATTCCGGGAATTCCCTGGACACCTCCAGGGCTGGGAATGTGCTGCTGAGATGGAAATTCCATGGGAGAATCCTGGAATGGGAATGGAGCTGGAATCCCCTCCAATTCCAACCCTTGGAATTCCATCCCAACTCCTGCCCACCCTCCCAGCCAGGAATTCCTTCCCAAATCCCATGGAATGGGAAAAGCAGCTCCACAGAGCCCTTCCAGTGTCCTCGGGCCAGAATTCCCAGTTTTCCACGGAACGGAGATTTTCCAAGCTGTTTTGTTCAAGGAATGGGATCATGGATTCCCCTGGATCCCGGGAAGCTTCCACGGCCAGGCTGGAGCAGCCTGGGATCACGGAACGGGACGGAATTCCAGGAGCTTGAAGTCCCTTCCCACCCAAAGCATTCCATGATTCCCGGAATTCCTGACACTCCCTGAGAACAGGAACCGATCCCAAAAGCCGCTGCTCCCGGACAATTCCAGAGGCTCAGGAATGCTCCCAGTGGGATTCCAGAGAAACCTTTCCAGGAAGAGTTCTCCTTCCTTCCCTCCCTCCACATTCCCGTCTCCATGGAATGACGCTGCTCCGGCCCAGAGCTTTTCCCGTGATTCCATGAATCCCATCCCAGCATTCCAAGAGCCACCAGCCCACCGCGGGGGCGCATCCTGATTCCGGGATTTGGGAAGCGCCGCCGGAGCCGGAAGGATTCGGCAAATGGGAAAACGCTCCGGGATTAGGAATTGTCTCCCTGTGGAATGGATTCCCAAAGTGCTCCCGGCTGGAATTCATTCCCGCCGTTCCCATTCCCACCGGTGCTCCCGGTGCTCCCGCCATGCGATCCATGCCCTCCTGGTGATCCAGGAAATCCAAGGTTTTTCCGGCAGGGATCCATTCCCTCCCGGTGTTCCCATGATCCCAGCAGGGATCCATTCTATCCCAGTATTCCCAGTGTTCCCGGTGATCCGAGGTTTTCCCTCCAGAGGATCTGGCGAGGCCCAGCCCGGCTCCTCATTCCCGGTGGAATTCCAGTCCCTTCCTGTGCCTTGGGAATGGATCCATGGGGAATTGCCGCTGCCAATCCCGGCTGTTCCAGTGCTCCCCACCCCTCCCATCAATCCCTTCCCAACATTCCCATGATTTCCCATCTCTTCCCATTGCTCCCTGTCATTCCCGTTGTTCCCCTTCTCTTCCTGTTGTTTCCCAACTTTTCCCATTTTTCTCCAGTTCCTCGGATCATTCCTGCTGTTCCCATCATTCCCGTTGTTCCCTGTCATTCCCGTCATACCCACAATTCCATTGTCCCCCATCTCTTCCTGTTGCTTCCCATCGTTCCCGTCATTCCTGTCGTTCCCATTATTCCCATCATTCCCATCATTCCCATTGCTTCCGTCACTCCCCAACATTCCCCAGCACTTCCCAACATTCCCGCTGATCCCAATCCCTCCCCAGTATTCCCATGGTTCCCCTCTCTCCCCATCCCTTCCCATCCCATCCCTCTCCAATAATTCCCAATAATTCCTCATCCCTCCTTATCCCTCCCCAACATTCCCATGGTTCCCATCTCTCCCATCCTTCCCAATCATTTCCATTGTTCCCATCCCTCCCCATCCCTTTCCAGTATTCCCAACCATTCCCCAACATTCCCATCCCTCCCATCCATTCCCATCTCTCCATCCCCCCTTATCCCTCTCCAGTATTCCCAATCCTTTTCCACCCCTTCTCATCCCTCCCATCCCTCCCAACCCTCCCGGTCCCTCTCCAACATTCCCAAACCTTTTCCATCCCTCCCTATCCTTCCCCACCCCTCCTTATCCCTCTCCAATATTCCCAAACCTTCTCCATCCCTCCCACTGTTCCCCATCCCTTCCATTGCTTTCCAATATTCCCAATTCTTCTCCATCCCTCCCCATCCCTCCCATTGTTCCCATTCCTCCCACCCCTCTCCGATATTCCCAAACCTTTTCCATCTCCCCATCCCTCCTCATCCCTCCCATTGTTCCCATCCCTCCCATTCCTCTCCAATATTCCCAAACTTCCATCCCTCCTCATCCCTCCCATTGTTCCCATCCATCTCCAATATTCCCAAACCTTCTCCATTTCCCCATTCCCCCTCGTCCCTCCCATTGTTCCCATCCCTCCCATCCCTGTCCGATATTCCCAAACCTTCTCCATCCCTCTCCATCCTTCCCATTGTTCCCATCCAGGTCCGATATTCCCAAACCTTCTCCATCTCCCCATCCCTCCCATTGTTCCCATCCCTCTTCGATATTCCCAAACCTTCTCCATATCCCCATTCCCCCTCGTGCCTCCCATTGTTCCCATCCCTCCCATTCCTCTCCAATATTCCCAAACCTTCTCCATCCCTCCCCATCCCTCCCATTGTTCCCATCCCTCCCAT